ACTGAATTGAGCCACACAGTTTTTCACTTGTAATTTGAAAGATGGCGCCATCATACAGACTAGATGGAGACACAAACACAGACTCACATAAAGTTCAGGATCAGAGAAAAGTTGTGGATGATGGTCTTTTTCTAATTTGGATTCAACCCTGCATGGGGCCCTACAGTATGCAAAGCTATAAAATCAATGTCTTTTTCAGAAGTTGGAAAATTCAAGTGGCATTTTCAAAAATGTCTCCGTGTTGTTGAAATTCCCAAGTGGAAGACTGATACCTTCATTGCTCTTATCTACCAAATAACATTTCAGACCTAGAAGAAGAAAAGGTTGCTTCTGTGCATCCATTTCCCACTTAGGAATCATGCTGAGTTTGGCTGCTGTAGCCTGGGGGGCCTCAGATCATCATTGCCTAAGCTTCCAGTGAGCCCGGGGTGTGCAGAGGCCAGCAGGCCAAGGCTTCACAAAGGACTTGCTTTTGTCAGCATGTGGCAGCGGCATGCACCACAACATGTGAGACGAGGGAAAATCATTTTGAGGAAGCATTTGAAACGCTCCTCTCATTCAGACATTTGTTAACAACCAGGCCTATACTATGGTACATAAAAAACAGGGATCCCTCCACCTCTTTGAATTTGGAATGATATTTATGTTTTCAAAAGCTTGGGAAATTGTGCCATGATTTATTCTTATGGAGGCAATACAATGGAGTTGACAGACCTAAGCGTCTATACGTTCTGAACCTTCATCTTATTTCTGCTGTTTTTTAAGCTGTGTAAATGTGTAAAAGTCACTCAAACTCTTCAAGATACAATTTCCTCAATTTTTTAACATGAGTGTAATGCCAGAGGGCTTTTTCGAGTTATTGACCTTAAAAGAAGGGTATATCTATAAAAGGATAGATCAATCCATCCATCCACCTATCCACTCATCCATCCTCCTATCCATCCATCCATCCATCTGTCCATCCATCCATCCTCCTAATCCATCTATATGAGGTGCTTATCGACCTCTCATCAAAATAAGTACTTAAATAAGATTGCAGTTCAATTTGGAGAGATAAATACACTAGTAGGCAAGTTGGCCAACATATAGCATTTTTATTGCTTTCCAATTCTTCTAAACATAAAAGAGTGCATGTGATGTGAATAGAACATTAGAGAGCAGAGAACATCTTTGGAGAGTTTATAGAACGATTTTTGGTTTTTGTCTTTTGCTTTAGTGGATCTGTAGGGAACACATGCAGGGAATATGTGCCTAAAACACAGGGGAGGAGTCTTCTATGTTGTCTTCTGTCAACTGGATTTGAATGTGCGAAGAGGATTGATGAATCATTGAGTGACCTCTGTGATGCAAAAATCTTCCCCACCGGTCCTCAGCAGGTTGTGACCAGCCTTTTATGGTCACTCTGTGGGAGATTTAATATCCACCTCTTGTGGATGCCATTATCTGTAAGACTGGCTTCCGTCTTTTTTCTTTGTGTCCAGCCCAGGTTTTCCTGATCTGCTGCCCTTCTTATTGTCTGAATCCTGCGCTCTACAGCCACACAGAAGTCATTACCGCCTGCAAGAAAGTCTGGCATCTCAGAAAGAATGGCAAACGTGGCTCTAAAGAAGGAAAACTTATTTATATTTCGGTAGAAAATAAAAATGGTTGTTATCCAGATCTCTTTCCCAGACACCTTAGTAAATTGTGTCTTCCATGGGCAGACTGTTAAATATTTTGGTGGGTGCCAGGTTGTCCTGGTGCCACAGTGAAAATCACATGCTTCACTGAAGGGGGTGATCTAATGAGTTTATTTCTATGCCCCGGTTCCACTGACAGGGCTATCGAGTGACTTCACTGCCATCAGTATTGCTGACTAACGCCTGTATCAACACCTACTGCCGCCACCACTGGCGCTTCAGTGATTTTACGTTTAGTTTGATTTCTCCAGACAGAACTTTTCCACATCGTTGGAACTAATTGAGGTAATGGAGAAATTATTCTGGTGCCAGAACACTCTTTACTTTCTTTTGCCCACTTCCCCTTCGGTATTGAAAGACAACAATTGTCACAGTCTCTTAGTATTTCTTTATAGCTTAAAAGGGAGAGTTTGATCTCATTGCTGCTGGACAACAGACATTAGCATCTGTCACTTGCGGCTGGTCCAGGCTGCAGTTGATAACATCCCCGTGTCACACTTCCGAGCTGCTTCTCCCTGGAGCCTCGAGATCCCTCCTGTTGTTCCCAAGGCTGACTGCAGGAAATCTTCTAATGTTTGCTGAAACAACTAGCAGATGGAAACAAATATTTTATAGGAATGCATTCGACCCTAATTATATGCATTGTCTGCCAATGTTTATAGCATCTCAGAGGGAGTTGGGAGGTAAGACCAAGTAGACCAAATGTGGTTCTGATTATGGGGATCTGTATCAAAAGTAGAACAGTGCCTTTCACTGACTTCCCCTTTCCCTTTCTGCCCCAAGATTCGTGTCCCTAACTCAAGAAGGTTGAAAGCAGCATTCCCTAGAGAGTGTGGCATACTGAGAAATCTTTGGGTTTGCCTCATGTGAACAGTTGGGGGCTCAGTAAGCACTTGGGATTTCGTTTTGGTGGACCACAGTGAGCCCTTCCTCTGCTGAGCCCTGTCTGGTTTAGATTTAAGGGAGGGCAGGAGAGTGGAACATCCTTTCAACAGTCAGCAGAGTCTCTGCTTAGCACATGCAATAGGGGTTCATCCTCAGGGATGGGAGGGCAATTAAAGATTAGTGGAAAATGTGCATGTTTATTCGAGGTTGGAGGAAAGAATCTATAAATTCTAAATAATGATGACTTTTGTAGTTTTCAGCTTGCATATTGTGTTGGTGTATTTTTCTGTGTTTTCTTCCTTCACCTGACTGTTCGTCTTGCATCTTTTCTCTTGCTGATCTGTTGTTCACTCATGGGTTGTAGAAATGATGCAATTCTGAGCAACAGATTGCAAATCTGTCTGATTCGCTACCTGTGAGCAGTCCTGGTCAGCGTTGGGAAGCAGGGGCTATTAGGACTCAAGAGCCGAAGTGGGTGTTTTGCATTACTTGTGGGTTTTATTTCTCCACATCACCTCTGACCTCTTTTGCAAAGTTAATTGAGAGTTGGCCTTTTTCAAACCGACTGCAGGAAATTGACCTTTGTGTTCACGCTATGTTAGGAAAGGCCTGAATGAAGAGAAAATCAGGAGGCAAAATGGGAAATATCTGGGCCCTACAGCCAGGCTATGGCATGATACGAAGTGATCACAGAATTCTCGGTGCAATCATATAGGCTGCACTACTTGTGGAATGGTTTCTCTGTAGGAGTTCCATCAGAATATATACCATAACCTGTGAGTGTGAAGATTTAACAATCTGAAAGTATCCTTTAAAGTAATACCTAATCGGTAGACTCCGTTTCCTCATTTTCATTTACTGGTAGGGAAAGCTGTACGAGGCCACTTGTGTAGAAATCCGACTCCAGGAGTTATCTGGTATATCTGGTACTCTGGGGAGAGGAAAGGACAGTTAGGAAAAATGCACTCATTCTGATCCCAGCAATTCTGGCTTCAAAACTTGGCTCTACCACGTATTTCTGCAGTTATCTTACATCTTAGTGCTTTGTAAAATGAGAACATTTGTAAGAAAGGAGATACTTCATGAAGACTAAATGAATATTTTTATGGGTTTAGGGGGACAGAGATGCTTCAAACCTCCAAGCCCTTGTTTTGTGTTGAGTCCTCATGCGAGTCCCAGGATTCAGTGGTGAAGAAAACATGCAAGGGTCTGCCCTTCCATTCTTTAGGGGGCTGACAGCTTCTTTCCTCTTTGTGGGGACAGGAACGAATCATGGCTCAACCAGCAGTATTTGAAATGCAGTAGGAGGGGAACTGATATTTTTAACTAGAAAGCCAGCATGTGAAGTGGCTTCTTAAGGCTCACAGCTGGATTAAATAATTCTGGGTCAGAATCTAGATTTCATGGTCTGGTGGTGAGGTCAGACTGAGCTTGCAGGCCGAGTGTCTGATTCCCTGCTCCATCCCAGACATGTGCACTACCCCCATCTCAGGCTGGGGTTTTCTCTTGTTTATTTGTTTTACCTGTAACTTGGTATAATAATACCATCAACCCACTGCAACTGTGGGTTTTGCATCCGTGGATGCAACCAATCATGGATGAAAAACATTTAGAAGAATAGATGCATTTATACAAACTGTTTTTCCTTGAGATTGTTCCCTAAACAGCACAATATGACAATATTTATATAACATGTAAATTGTATTAGGCCTTATAAGTAATCTAGAGGTGATTTAAAGTGTACTGAGGATGTGTGCATGTTATATACAAATCCTATGTCATTTTCTACAAGGACCTTGAACCTCCTTCTATTTTGCATCTATGGAGGGTTCCATGGGCCAAACCTTCGTACACACAGAGGGAATATTATACTTTTTTTTTTTTAAAAGCCTACAGATATGTCATTATAAAGCCAGGTAAAATAGACCAAGCTGACACACATTTTGTATGTTTGTTCTAACCTTATTTGTAAACCAAGAGGTAGAGACCCTCCATTCTGGTAAAGCTAATTATATTGATAAATTACTCGAAACAACAGTAGATAGCTCTGCAGGAGTCTGTAAATTTAAATACAGTGACCCAAACTGATCTTGAGCAGAGATAGAATGAAACCGCGCACAACTTAGTAAAGGCACTTAGGGGAGAGGAGTTAGGGAAAGAGAATTTGGTTTATAGTCTCAGATCATTATCTATGCAGTGCAATAAGAGGATGTTAAACCTGGGTGCATATCTCTGTTCTTGGACTTTATATTGTATCAGTTAGCTACTGGGGTATAGCGAAATGGACCAATCTAAGTGACTTCAAACAACAATCACTTCCCATGGGTTATCTGGGAAGTTCTGCTGGCTCGGGCTAGTTCATCTGATCTTGGTTGGGCTTTCTTAAGAGTCTCTACCATTGTTTTGAGGATCAGTCACGATCAGGCTAGGCTTGCTCAGTCTATCATTGCTTTGAAGTCCAGGTGGCATCACTCCTGTCTGATGTTGAAGAGTCGGCCGGCTGTTGGCCCTGTGATGGATTTGGCTAGGCCTCTATTGATTCATCATCCAAACTTCTAGCATGGGTTTGTGATGGAGGTTCTGGTCTATAGAGGAGAAGAGTACAAAGGATTTCCAAGACTGAGCTCTGGACTGCCAACCTATTCCTTTATCTGAAACAAAACAAAACAAAACAACAACAGAACTCAGTCAAGCTCAGATGCAAGGGATGAGGAAATGGATTCTACTTCGACAGAATATCTATGTGAAAAGACAAACTTTAATGAATTAAAGTGTCAAAGAGTTCATTTAAATGGATAGCAAGACATGAATTGGGTATCTCCATGCTTTGGGGTCTCTACCAAAGGAGCTAGAGGAGAGAGAGAGAGAGAGCTTTATGAGGCTTTTATAGAGCAAATGTAGAAGAAAAACGACAAAGTAAATATTCATTAAAACGGAGCAGTAAATAGCCTTATTTGGATCCTTCCAGATAACAGTCTTAACAGTTTCTGATTGGTGAAACCTTCAGTTTCCTTTTACCATTGACACTGAGTTGCTGAAGCCTTCTTGGTCTAATAATAGCTTCTCAATTAATTATATCAAAGGGTGAGCTGCAAAGTCACCTCACAAAAAAGGTGTACAGGGAAGAGTGTCAAACTGGGCTGTTTTGTAACCTACTGCACTAGTGTACTTGGACAAGTTCCTTGGCTTCTCTGAGGGTAACCGGTACCTTACGGGACTGTTGTGAGGATCAGAGTCACACAGGAAACCCCAAATACTATGCAGAACTTACAGGTAAATACTTAACACGGTTACCATTATTATTATTATTATTATTATTATCCTCTTTATTTTTAATTATATAATTTACACTTCTGGGTAACAAAAATCACTGCAAAATGATTACAAATACATAACAATAAGAAAGATAAAAAGAAAACTGAAATCTCAACATCTAGTTCTCAGCACCATTAACAAATTGGACCCTTAGATTTTTCTCATTAGCTGTCATTATTATTATTATTATTATTATTATTATTATTATTATTATTATTATTATTATTTTTGGTACCAGGGATTGAACTTGGGTCCTTGCCCTTGCAAGGCAGGCCACTGAACCGCTGCACTAAATCCCTGGCCCTCTGTCATTATTCTTACTGGCTTGAATATATTGGTACCATGTGACATTACTAGGTTAAATTGCTTTTTCTTAAGACTTGGAAATAAATGCAAACTCTAAAAGTATCTCCATCCACCCATCCATCTGTTTACCCACCCACCTCCTATAAGTTTATTTATTCATTATTTCAATTACCTACCTGCCTGTTTGCTAACAAACCCACTTTTACTTGTGACTCATGTCTGTATGACCCCCAGATGTAATTTCCTTTCTTTTTCATCCAGTGTATGGGCTGGTGCCAAACAGCACTTCTGTTGCCCAGGTATTTTAAGTGATTCTAGTTACTTTCAGGGAAAGTCTGGCTGCCCTAGGGCAGGGGTTGCTAACCCTTGGGCTACCAACGGGTACCTGTCCCTGGCCTGTTAGGAACCAGACCTCGGAGCAGGAGTTAAGTGGAGAACCAGTGAGTGAAGCTGCGCCTGTACTTACAGCTGCTCTTCCTTGCTCATGTCGCTCCCAAGATCCAACTCCTAGCAGAATGGGTGCAGCGCGAGATCCCCATAGCAACTGTGCACATGAAGGATCATGGTCACATTACTGCATATTCCTTAACAGGAGCTAATACAATGATAGCACAAATAAAGTGAACCATGTAATGATAATGAAGTAAACAATAAGTGTAATGCACTTGAATCATCCTGAAACTATCCTCTCTCCCCCATCTGTGGTAGAATTGCCCTCCAGGATACTGGTCCCTGGTGCCAAAAAGGTTAGAGACCACCACCCTAGAGTGAAGAACAGGGCTCCTTATCCTTTCCACCTGCTTCTTTCTAGTCTCATCTTCCCATTCTATAATTTTACAGTTTTGTCACCCGAAGAGTCCAGGCCTTTTCAAAGACACCATATTGCTTGTCTGGTCTGTTCATGATGCTTGGAAGCTCCTTCCCAACCCTATTTTCACAGCCGTTGCTTTCCCATCCTTGACAGTCTAGCTTGATTTCAAGTACCTGTCATTCATGAGTCTCAGTGGTGTGAGCTGCATCCCGTTCTCTGGTATGCACAGTCTGCTACAGCCCTTCTTGCATGGCATTGCGGGGTTTGTATTTCTATTACTTGACTCTCCACTTGACTCTGTTGAGTAAAGAGATCGAATCATGGTGTTTTAGTCACTAAACAAGTAAATACTATGTCCTGCCTGTGTATAGACAGTGGCACTGAAGATTAAAAATAAAGTGAACAGGTGACTAAAGAATCTCAGGAGCTTTCCATCTAGCACCCTAGAGGCACCCATCAGCAGCACAGATGTTAGGGGTTAACAGTCCTGATGCAAGCCACACCACCGAATGAAGGTGGCCGTCCCATGAGGCTGAGATGCTGCCCTTTACTGATGATTCTCCTTTGCCTCCTAGGATTCATAGAGAACACTCCGTGGTCTCAGCGAGGACCCGCCAAGTGAATAGCTGGATCCTGAGAATGCAAAATAGTTGGCAAGACTACCTCACTCATTCTCATGCAGTCCGCCGGTGTCCCCTCTAACTCACTCTGACTGATGGGAGCATGAGTGATGACTTGAGAGACAGACTGCATAAATGCAGAGAAAAGTTTCAGTAAGGAAATGCAACTTAGAATATTCACCTCTCAAAGTGAATGCGATTAGAAAAACAGGTAGCACTCAATGTTGGCAAGGCAGCTGTGAAGCCAGTTATTTCATATATCATTGGAGTGCAAATTGCTTCACTTTGGCACTAGTGTTCTCACACGTTCTATAACTATAACTCAGCGAGATACATCTTAGGAGCCTGTGCAAAGAACCGCTAAGACAGCACACTGCCATTTGTTCACATCGTTCTTTCATGTGAGCTTATAAAATAGATTTTTGTTGCTTGTGAAAATACAAAGGAAGCCATGGTATTGTAAATAAAAACGAATACACTAATTCATTTGGTTATATAGGCAGGTGTGTATGCAGACAGAAAGACAGGTAGACAAAAAGTAATTGCACTTAGCAGGGCTAAGACTTGAATGATTATCTGCTTTCTATTTTCTAACTATCTTACATACGGAATGTTTCATTTATTTAATATTAAAAATACCTACTAGTCAGAGTAAAAGATAACTGACAAAAATAACACTATTGTCTGCAAAGTAAGAGATTCTGCTTTCCACCCTGATACACAGGGACTGTAGGGATATTACTAAATTCATGCACAATGGGTTGTTAATGGCCCTTTAGATCTTTTTTTTTTTTTTTTCAGGAAAAATCATTGCTGCGATTGCATTCCAGGTAGAAAATTGCAGGCAAGGATTTTTTTTAAAAAAAAGCAAGTAGTAGAAGCAAGCAATAATATAGTTTCTTTCAGAAACAAAACCCGCGTTTAGAATCTAAAAGCAATGTGATAGTTCTGGAAACTATTATCGCAAGTCACTCTGTGCCCATCAGCTCACACTGCTGTGTCTTCGGGACACAGTAAAGCCAGAAACAAAATTTTGGATAGGAGCGAGACTAATCTTAGATTCACAGCCCTCTCACTGTCTCTGGGTGAAGCACAATGGAAAGCCCCAAATTTGTCATAGCCCCTTCCATTTAGATCCCCTCAACTCTGGATTCGCCTGTGTTTTATTCGACCTTCCAATTGCTAGCCCTTTTTTGGAACCTACTACATTTGGAGGAATTTCTTCTGGTCCAGAATCTACTTTTGCTCTGTTTCCCCCTTTCTAATTTATTGCACCTTCACCTTAAGGCATGCTTGAAGCCCAGAGGCTCCACTAGGCCTGGTGAGATGATGCTGGTAACCAGGGGTGCATGCGTGGGACAAAAGCCATGCGCAACCTGTCCACACAGCACCACCTCCCATGGCATCTCACCTAGATAGAGACCCTAGGGCCTCTCTAGCTCTCTGGACTTAGAGGTGGGATCCATAAGTGACACACTGTATGACTTCTTGGGTCACCTGGTGGAGTTTTCCTTCACAACTCTATGGCATACAGAAATGCAATAGCAGTACAAGCATTGAGTAGACTTCCTGGGATACTTTGTCATCTCCAGTTCCATTTCTTACACATTTACTCACCCCCTTTACCTTGTCCGAGCTGGCCGAGGCATGGTACACTGGAGATAGTGTGGGATTTGGACCCAAGCAGAGCCAGGTAGACTGTTATCTCTGCTGCCAGAGAACCCTGAGCATTCTTCAAAACTGAGGAAACCATAGGCATTTTTGTGGTATCCCTGATGTTTCAAGGCAGGGTAGCCCATCCATGCAGGAAGTTCCAATGGTGGCCTCCGAGTGGCTCAAACATGAGGCTATGCTAAGTTGCCTGTCACTGACACCCTCCTGAAGAGTGTGATGGAGGCCTTCTTCTCACATTTCTGGTTCTCCCAGTGCCTTCTTATCAGAAGGCTGATGGTGCCTTCCAGGCATTGGCTTTCGGAAGTGGAGCAGCTAGGGAACTTGTTTTAGTGCAGGTGAGCACAGATGCATGTTGCACATAAAGTGTAACAAAGCTTCTTACTTGTGCTTTGGGTAACATTTCCTTCTTTTATTAGGACAACAGACAGGAAGATAACGAGGAATGCCTCAAGGATTGACCTCTTCCCCCTTTTCCTTCAGACTTTAAGACTTCCGTTTTTGTAGGCACATCCTGATCCTGTGCTGACATATTGCTTGCCTTCTCTGTTCCTTGGAGAAGAATGTTCTGTATAATTCTCCCCCCTCCCTCTCTCTCCCCAACATCCACCAGCCTAAACCGGTGGAACGATGAGGATGAGGAAGAACCAGTGGACACCTCAGCAATAGCTCAAGAGCTGGAGGTTCCCACAGGAGAGTGCAGCTGCCCGTACACCCTTGGCTGAAGAATGATCTTCCTCTACTGGGGAAAGCCATCATTTTTAACCAAGAATACAGCTTTGGGAAGGCCACACATGGAGCAGTGAGAGAAAAGCAGACAACCGCCAAGCCAGCCAGATGAGCGGAATCAATTCTGGAGGTCAGTAAGGTGAGAGATACCACAGTCAGATCAGTCTCTCATCCTTACCAATATCTTAAAGATTCCATGAGACGAAACAAAGAAGAAAGGATAGATACACGTTAAGTCTTCTGTTTCCTTTCTCCATCTTTCATACCCAATATCCTCAATTCAGGTGGCAAGCCAAGAATCACAGTCCAGATAGGGAACAGAAAAGAACAGAAGACTGACCACGGTTGAAAATCTTTTCCTTTAGTATCTTTTTCTGGTATTTCTAAGTCTTTGGGATTAGAAGCTCTGCACAAAAGTCTTTCTTTTGTGACCACAGTAACTTCAAGTCACTTCCTAGTCAGATGCTAGACGAAGAGTATAAAGGAAGGGATGGCTCTGAGCAAATACATTTGCCCACCTAGAGGAAAGAAAACAGGTGTTGTAAGGAGGGAAGCAGCACAGACAACTTCTATTGAAAGATGGTCCCTGACAGCCAAAAGACAAATCAAGTGCAAAGGGATAGAAGAGGCGTCAGAGAGTCCCATGTGCAGGCTGTTTTATTTGGGTCTAGGTGTTTTGCAGTTTTCATCCCTAATCACATCTGGGCATCCGCATGTCTCTGATTCCCTTCGTTCATGTTCTCCATCTCACAGCAAGAATTCAGCATTTTAACAATCAAACCTGGCCCCACTGTACTCTTCTCCTGTTTGCAGCCTTCTTGGGTCCCTGTTCTGCTCAGTTTTCTCTCATGCTTTACCTCTGGTGGACTCTTCCTCAATCTCATAGCCGTGCACGCTTTACTACAGATGGGTGCAGCTTCTTTACACCCTCAAGCTGTTGTCAGGATTGAAACTGTCAAGGACAGCTTCTACAGATTTCCAGATCCCTCTTGCTGGGACCTACATCAAAACCTATCCCCATCCCCAAGGCCCTGCACCCATCTCTTCCTGAATTAGTGTTCTATCTGTTTGGAATCCTCACTTTAAAACACATCATGCAATCCCAGAGGCTAACAACCATTCCATTTTTCTGCAAGAACTTTGTTTCCTTTCTGAAGAGGAAAATTCAGAGACATCCAGTGTTGTAACCCAGTTGAATTTTTTTTCATTCTTGGTATACTTTCTATAATCCCAATTCATAATGATGTTAGATATTCCCTCAGACTATTCGGGATATCCACACACTGCGGATGGTGTCTGGAATCACCTGGGTGACCTCAGGCTCATGCAAGGGTTGGTGTCTGAAGACCTCATTCAGGTTTGAAGGTAGAGAGGAGACCACCTGTGGTCCTTCCCTGAGCTCTTGTAGATGTGATCGGGGAAAGCAAAAAGGCTTAAAGAAGGCTCATCTTCCTTCATTAGTTGTTGTTCAGTAGAAGTTACAAGACAATAGTGATAGCAAATATTAGCTCTTTTCTACCTTATTCCGGGGATCAATGAATCGGTATGATTTCTTGCATTTTTCTCATTCTAGACCAGAGATTGACAACTGCCTACAGGATGAATGTAACTATTGTTTATCACTACAGGGTTGTGAGATGAGAATGATTTTTAAATTTTTAAGTAGTTGAACAATAAATAAAAGATGATATTTTAAACATGTGAAAATCATATGAAATTCAAATTTCAGTGTCCATAAATAAAGTCCTTTATAACTTTGTATGTTGTTTTATGGCTGTTTTCGCAGTACTGCAGCTAAGTCAGTAGCTGTGACACAGACCTACTGTCCAGTTCTCAAAGCTAAAAGCACTAATTCCTGCTTCAGATGGTGCATCCCAGAAGGTCAGGTTGGTGTTGTGCCCATTTGATAATGCTGGGGCATGGTATATGCTTAACTACAGTGAGTACTCAACAAGCATTGGAGGAACAAATAAACAAATGACTATACACGTGAGAAGCAGTTAAACTACGGATTCCGATATCCTTTCTAGATGTAATATTCTATAACTTTGGAGCACCCTGGATATCATTAGCACCTGGTCACCTTTCTCTTGCTCAGAGCACTATTATATAGTCACGTGTGAATTAATGACGCTAGTCGATTCTGAGAAATACATTGTACGCACAGCATAGACTGTACACAAAGCAAAATACTACAGGTCAGTCATGCGATCTCCTGATGACATCAAGAGGCGTGGTAAGCATGAACTGCATGTATAACTCAATAGCTTACTGTTT